AGAATGATGACTATATTTCGCACGATGTTCTGAATCTGTCACGTTACAACACGCTGTACCCCATCGGCAAGGTATTCGTTGATCACGTTCATCATACTCTGATGACGCCTTGGATGATTCTATAAAGACGAGAAATTGGAAATGAAAGTATATATTTTAAGTCAAGTGTCATTTACCTCTCGACGATCGCTTTTCTACCGGTTCTAAAACTTTTTCTCCATGTGAATACTTTATTCGATGTTTCGGCGAATCGTCCTTGCACTTTAATTGATATCGACATGGAATCAGAAAACAGGGCAAATTCGAATGACGATATTGGGCTCTATGGTATGGATTATTTAAAAGTTTGCATTTCTGATCGGAAGCACATATAGCCGCTTGACGAGGTTCATGCGTTAAATGAGGTTGACAAATGAGATCTCGACAAAGTTCAGCAAAACGACATGGATGTGAATATTTTGAATTATGAATTGGTCCATCGTCTGAAAATTGTATAAGACAGTTAATACCGTATAAACATGGTGTCAAAGATGCTTTTTTCTTTCCAGCAGAGTAGTCATCCATCGCTTTACTTTTCACTGGACCTCTAATGTCAGATGATTGTTTTGCATGATCATCAGCTACTAGAGGGGATGATCTACGTGGACTGCCAGATCCTCTATGAACTTGTACGTTATCGAATGAGACCTTTTTAGCCGAAGAATTTGGGTCGACTTTGATATCGATTGGTGGATGTAGATCGTTTTGTTTCTCGAATGTGACAAAGAAATTTCGAATAGATACAACATGAGTTCCAGCACTAACATGTATAAATTCTAATTTTGCTAGATCAATCTCTGATCTATCAAATTGATAGGATATTACTTGATGATTATAAATCGAATTTGAATTGACATGTGAAAGTTTAACCTTACCACTGGAAGGTTGTATTTCAAGGCAAAATGTCATGTAATCATCCAAATTACATCCGAGATAGAATGAGGTCGATTTAACCGCGTATCGATTTTGATTTATGAATGTTTGATGTTGAGATGGTTGACCTAAGCTTAAATAGGATGGCGATTCATTGTATTGAGTATTATTGACTGTAGGTTTTTCGGAAATGTAACAGATTAAACAACGTATTTTTGATTGTGATTCACTTGACTGAATTTGTTCGTTCGATAATGTTAACATCATATCGCCATTCAACGCTTGCCAATAAATATAAATCGTCATATACGTTGATGCTTTGGAATGTTGCACACGATAGTTTGTATATGCTTGCGATATCGTTAGAGGTAAAACAAGATTATCGGTAAAATTGGTGGATGGTAATGTAATAGCAAATCCTTGAATAGGTTTGGCAATAGATTGTATAGTACGTTTGTCAAATTTTTGAATCCATACATCATTAATAGCACGATTATATTCTTCATCTGATTTAGACGGTAGAATCGTCAAACGCTTACGAAAAATAGTTTGAATTCTATTTGCAATACGAGCATCGAACGAATCATAGATATTCTGTATCATGTAAATATGATCAATGGAATCCAATGGAATCAGGTGTGGTAAACGAGCTTCGATTGTATCTTGCGAATGATTGAGCAAACGGTGTAATATCAGATCAATGTCAATGTCCATCATTCGTTTGTCAGTCTTAGAACTTGTAAAAGCGATCAATTCGATAGCAACTGCTTGATCGTAGCCTGGAATAGAAGCATGTAATTTTGTTTCATTAAATAATTTGATTCGTTCAGCTTCCGAACCTGAATCGGTTCCTAACCATGGTCGATATTTATAACATCTTCCTGATAGATAGGATGCGGCTGTTTGTATGGAAAAATTTGCATCCGGATGATGAAGAATTTCTCGCTTAAAAACGATAACTATATCACCACAATTACCACCAACATATGGTCCAAGTACACTTAATACATATTTATTTATTTTCAATTTCTTATCGGATGGCTGACTAGTACTAACTGAATTAGTATGAAGTTTTATCGAAGCTTGAGTTATTTGTTTTGTTATTTGATTAATTAGATCCATATCATCGCGAGAAATATACTTCGAAAGAAAATCTTCTTCTTGTTGAATCACATCGTCATTATTCCTCGATGAATGTTCATCATTCGAATCTGCCGAATCGTTTTTCAGAAATTCATTCTTATGATATATATCAATAATTAATCTTTCGATATAATTTCGTGCATGGTTTACACATGGATCTCGACGTAAGTTGTGAATGGATTTGATTCGATTATGTTGAAGAATACAATCAGCAACAATTTTAGGCTCCTTTAAATATTCCATATATCTTTCACTCATGACATGTTCATGAAGAAGGAATAATTCGAATACTTCTGATCTGCATCGATGAATAGGTTGAACAGTTCGTATCCAATCGAGTGTCTCTTCGCGAAGTGCATTCGTTGTCGAACGTTGCCATTGATCACGTTTTATGTAGTCCAGTAAACGGAGAATAGTTTGTCGTTGATTTTCAAAAAAATTTATATTTCTATTCAAATCATGCCAGGGTACAACGCTACTATTTTCCCATGCTACTTCATGACGATATTGAATTTGATGTTCGACATTGTTACATTTTTGAGATGTAGGATCATTTTTACACAAATATCGAATATCTTGAATGTTTGGATGTGTGAACGAATTCAAATGGTCTTCTTGATTAAGTTTCATACATTCTTTACCCTGCGAACAAACACAGCGTGATACGTGAATTGTTGTATTCAAATGCGATGAACTTTCTTTAAGACAATTCCGACCAAATTGACAGACATGAGCAAAATTGGTGCAATGTTCTAGTACCTGGCGTGAGACTATTTTAGTGTCAGATGCTTTTGTGAACTCATCATATAAAGCACAATGATAAGGTGTCCAAGGACATGGTGAAGGAAACGGATGTTGATATTCTTCTATATGTTGTTCATTGTGAAAATAAGCACAATAGCGTCCATATTGGCAATCTGGTTTGCAATGACGATAAGCATCACAATGGATTCGAATACGTTTACGATAATCATCGCATTGATATCCATCTTTACACAATGGCAAATGTCGATATATTCTCTCATGATCGTCGGTCGTATTCTGACAAGCACTACCATTTGGACAGTCAGATGGATGTTCAAATTCTCGAGCATGTTTTTTATCATTAATATCTTGACACTGACTACCATGAGGACATATATTTCCATGAATAAATGAATTCATATGAACAATATTATTCATTTGTGAGCATGCGCTTGTCACACAAGCTTCTACACAGAGTGGCGGATGAGAATATTGACGTGTATGTTTTGAATCATGAAGATCACGGCATTTTGCTGCAAAATTGCATGGTGTCAAATCATAAATGGAAACATCAGATACAGTTGAACCGTTCAATAAGAAACGATAAGGACCAAACATTGTATTTGCTTGATTTATCGGTTGAATTGCCTTGAAACTTAAGTGCTCGAATTCACGTTGAAAGGGTAGAAGATTGCCTTTTGGATTTGACTCCTGTCCCGCATTATGATCATCAATAATGGCAAATACAATCAAGTGAAAAAAGCCTGCATATTGTTCAATAATCGAACGAAAGATTTTCGCTACATGGTCAGGTGGATTTTTAAATGCACCACAACCAATTGCCGATAGAACAAGACTATCATGGTTATGATGATAAGCAATAGCAAAAACATTTTCGATTTTCTTTCGCATTCCAACCGCATATTTCGGTGATAACATGTTTCCATCCAATGGTGGATGTCGATAAGCAGCCATGGCCAATGAACAAACATCGGTTAATGGTTTTTTCATAAACTCATAACCTTTCTTTTCCGTCTGACGAAAAACAGTCAATCCCGATGTATAAACAGCACCATATTCACCCATTGGATACATCGAACGAGCATTAGCTATGGATTCAAGCTTGCACGTTGATGTACAATGAAATCGTTCGGATGGTTGCTCAAATTCGTCAAGATCAATATCAAGACTTCGAAAATAATCAGATCGTCGGAAGAGATTTTCCTCTTGTGCCCCATCACCTTTTCGATAGCCACCACCGGGACTTGTTGCACTAGCCATATTCAAAAGAAGAGGTTTTCTTCCTTGATTAACTAAATATTCGTAGACAACAAGACAATCATCATTCACCACTTTGACTTCAGTTGTTTGATACGGCGTTCTCTGTACCGGCATAGGTCCACCATATTGTAATTTTGACTTATGATCGTAGACTATTGTTCTTAATTTATTATTTAAATTTAATCTAATTTTATCATTACCAACCGTATAGCATTTCTTTCGTATAGCAGCAAGCGTATTGAGCATAACGGTTACTCGAAGCAGATGACGCATCTCATTGCTCCAACCATGGTCACACTTTTGCTCATTATGCTTATTTCTTGAGCCTTCTTTTTGTAATACATCAATGCGTTCGAATTGTTCGAGCCAAACTTGTGCATTCCATTTTAAACGAAAGATCGTATGATCAGGATTTTGAATAAATGGAATAATGTTCGGTGCATATCGAAGCATTTCTTCGCCATACCATGTGTCAACATCAATCTCATTCGTATCCAGAGTAAGTGTACCGGTGTAAACCATCATGGAGACAGTGGTGCCTTTGCCAATATTGAGTATTTTATAGTCCAAGCACTTATCGTATACCTTCTTGTCACAGATTTTGAGAATCAAATTTTGTCCAGAATGTTTGAAAATGTTCGCTTTCCCGGCAAATATTTCATGACGAATGATGGCATCAGCATCATCTCTTTGACGAACTGGACAAAGTAGTAGATGATAACTGAGACTCTTCTTCTTCGAGATAGTTTCATCGCCAATGCAGATCGAATCTATTTTTGCCCATTTTCGTGCCTTATCCGTAGCAAGAATACATACGCTATTCATCTGTTTATTAAATTGTATATAGAGAGATGATAATGAGCATTTTTTCAATTCTATAGCGCTGCATATTAGTTCTTGTAATTGATTTTCAGCTGTCGAGGTTGGAAGATTTTCAAAATAACTACAATCAGCACAAGGATAAACTCGAGCTTGTTGATTTTTTATCAACAACTCTGGTCTAGATGCCACACGTAATAATTCATCGAGTGATTTAGATACGATACGATAGATATTGGGATATTGTATATTCAATTGATCACAGTCGAGCGGCATTTCCCCATTGTAATTAGCGATCCATCGACGAACGATTTCGTCCGATTTTGGAAAATTAATGTCCTCATTTTCGTTCCCTTTATCAAATACAATATATGAGACGAACTCGACTGAATCTTTAAATGAAATCACTACTGTTTCTTGTCTCGAGTCATACGCCATTTTATCAACAACATTAACCAAATGTTCTTTTATTTGATTATTCTTGACACATACATAACCAAAACCGAAATTCGAATAACATTTGACATCGACCGGTTCAACTTTCAAAACTACCGACAAACGTTGTCGAATTGTACGTTCTAATTGAATATTATCCTCTATGTCTAAAGGCAAATTAGTAATGTAGACGTTGGTTTCGTAATCCGAATTTGATGGCGACTGTATTTCTTTTCTTAATTTTCTTTTTGACTCAGGATATTTGGTGTCATTTGCCCTTCCTACCAATCTCTCATCTTGTTCTGATTCTTTTGGTGTATTCCTAAGACTTGAACTGGAAGTTTGACCAGAAGTTCCATAAGGTTCGTCCGATGATAAGGATTTATGAATAAGGTACTCTATAACAAACAAAAATATTCATGAAACAATCTGCATTCACCTTTCAAGAGTCACCGCATAGAAACAGCAAAATTGATCTATTCTTACTAGTGTAGAACAATTGATAGAAACGAAAAAAAACTTCAAAATACAACCAAAAAGGGAAAGAATTTCCAAACCGAGTTTGTAGTTACAAGAGTATAAAATAGATGCTAACTAGCTGATATAAACATCTGGAATATTCAACCACATCGCTGCGGGTGTGAGTGGGTAAATCGTAGACTACACGACTCTAATGAATCATTGATAGCTTTACCCTAACCATCTTTATCGATGATTCTAGTCATCGAAAACAGTGGAAATAAACGAAACGTAGAGGTAGTATTCTGGCTAATAAGTATCCCGATTTTTCGAGGTGAAACGCTGTTTTCAAATTGCTTCGATTTTGCGCATTTTCTCTTGCTAATATTGGCTCACACATCTCACCATAAAGATTAAGCAAACATACATTCAAGGACGTTATTGGTAAACAGAAGCATTAGAAATACATATTTTTAGATTTTGAAAACGAATATCACTATTAAAAATAAAGTTTGCGTCATCACAAACTATTATTTTTAATATCCGCACCCGTACTCAGGCATTTGATTATGAGATCTGTCACATTCTAATTGTGACTATGAACAAAACACTGTCAACCTTTACTTTTTTTTGCAATTACTAAGTCCTATATAAATGAGCACTTTGTTTCTACGTTATCGATGGTAAAAAGATTCTATCGTGATCGAACTATGTCCTATTTGAACGGAAAAAATTTGTGAAAACAATACTCGATCTTACGGATTGTCTCTTAATCAGTGGAAAATAGTGAAATGATTAATAAAAATTAGACTTGAAAATATTACCTCTAGGCATTGGTTTCGGAGGTCTGTCAATATCGTTGTCTTGATCACTCGGCGATGGTTCTAATTGCTTGTATTTCATTTCAAGTGACGCATCTGGCGTTGTCAGTTTATGCTGTGGTTGGCCACAAGTTTCACATCGTTTTAACGATTCTTCATTTTCGTTTAGACATGTTTGACATTTCCAATAGTTTTTCTGTTTGTCATTCATATTAGGAGCTTCCAGTGGTGTGGTTATAATAGTGGATACACTCTTTCCTGTCTAAAACATTCAACATTTGATCTAAACCATCAATCGTTTCAAAAGTTGAAACATTCAAATCACGTTCATCTGTCGAAAATAGACTCTTGTGCATACGTTCATTTATCGATTATTTCTCTTGCATAAAACTTTTCTATTATTAAATCATGTTTTTCACCAACAGTTTACTATGTCACTACGTTAATATCTATTTAGAAACCATATGTGTATCAGCTAAAGCATATTCACCGAATGTAGATGTAACCATAGGCGAATCAATCAATTTTTCAAAGTTATATGACCTAAGAAAGGTGGATTTCTCTATTTGCACTGCTCGATCATTCTAAAATTTGTGAATATCGCTACAATGCAATATTTTCCAGTAGTCTACATCGCTTGACTTCCTCAGTGGTATGTATGACAACAATATTTCGAGCTTTACTATCTATATCATTTCTGAATTATCTCCATCAGTAAAAAGCTAGTGTAATGTATAGCGACTAAAGCAGGTTTTTTTCAGCCGAAATTGCCATTAGCTAATCTATTGTGTTAGTACTCTCAGGCCAGCCTTTAATTCTACGCTGGTTTACATTGGAATGTAACCTCTATTTTGGTGGATCCGCGTTCAATAGATTTTTTGTAGCTACTCAATACACTAGTTTCGCGCAACCATTCTCATTTCAAAAAGCAAATTGTTACGTGGATTTTAGTATGAACAAATTTTCTGCTCGAAAAAGCAATAATAAAGAGAGATGCTTAACCCTTTTAATCCATCTCGGACTTTCAATATCTTTTCAATTTAGAAACAAATTTATGTCATCTACAACGCTAGTCGCTTTTCTTCGGTACAACCGAGTAACTTACGTTTTTCTCTGATTCTATTTGATCAGGAGATTGTTGTTCAGCTCTTGCACTGTTAGTTAACCTATTATCTTGATCGAGGACTTCGTGATAAGTCAAACTCTTTTGACAAATGCTACAATTGCTTCTATGTCTAGAATTGAGAGGGTGTTCGGCACAACTTCGATGGCAATTATAACCACACATCAGCGTTGCTGAGTCGACTTTCGAGTCCAAAGGTTTTTCACATACGGCACATTGCGCTTCTATCGTTCGTTCATTCCGTTTCAGTACTTCATCGAGAGCCAATTCTTCATCACAAACGCGACAGTTAGTGCTTTGTTTAGTACTACTATGACCTTGAACACACATACGATGATATGTATGACCGTATTTCGTCGATATTAAATTGTCTTTCGGATCCAATGGATTTTTACACATTGAGCATAATATTTCTCTTTTAATTTTAACTTTATCCAGTGCTTTGCTTACGGCTGACTCTGTGCCGCAGCTAGGACAGTAAGTCATTTGTTTGATGTTGCAAAATTTTTCAGCACAACTATGATGACACGCATGCCCGCACTTCGTTGTCACTAATTCATCGTTTTTTTCGAAAGAGAGACCGCATATTGAGCATTTTGTATTCTTTAACGCATACATATTCAAATCTAAAATTGAGAAATACTTTCAAATATACTTCAGGTATATATGTTTTGATTAGTTTCAATTAATGCATTCCTCAAAAAGGTTAGAATAATAAGCCCTTATTTTTCCAGAAATCGATAATGACCAATGGAAAGATCAACAGTCATGATAAAGTGCATAAAACAGTTTCTAACTCGAACGGTTCACTTATTTGCGACTTAACTTAATTATATAATCAAAAGATGTGTGAACCACAAGTCAATGAACCCCAGTTTCGTTCCGTCGGATCTGGAAATTTTTAATTGGATTCCGTCAGATTTCATCGAGTTTTATCACAATAGGGCAAAATTCAGGCTGCTCTTAATGATAAAACTGCTTGTCCTGTGACTATATTTCACATTTCATGTACAGTGTTTTATCTAGGTTTTGTTTTTCGGATGGGCAAATCAAATTCCCGGGTGGGTAGCGCCGACCCTCATCATGTAATAAATAAATTAGTGGAGTATTTTTACGCAATTATCCGCATATTTTAGGGTGGGCGAATGAAAACTTCGGGTAGGCGGCGCCCACCCAGCCACCCACTATATAAAACACTGTTCATGTATGATGTTTGTATACGCTATCAGAGTACTATTCATACTATTTATTGCCTCTGAGTTTCTCGCATAAATAGAGTTAAATGTCAAAGGCTGTGACCGATGTCTTAGCAAAAAACCATCAGAAGTGTGGTAGACATATTTAGCAACGTCTTCCTTATCATCGACCGTGATAGACACAATCTAGGCCCTTGAATTCGACGGGAATTCGTGAAACGGACTGGCATTGAATTTTTGTTGACTGACTCGTAATTACTACAATTCTATTAGCATCCATTTAATCAGTCCTAGGCTACGATCTTGAGATACTATCGTACTGGGCTGTCGGATCTATTCTAAAATCTGATTGAAATCGAAATCTTATCGGATTCTGGAAGAGCACCGATAAAATACAAATATCGAATCGATTGACTTGAGCATCATATTTTGTTATTCACGATAGAGATAAGTAGCTCAATGGTGATTGGCGACTTATTCTCACGGGCATTGTGCTAAAAGCGTTCTATGTGATTAATATCGTTTGAATCATAGATCTCAGCTCTGAAAAGGTTCAAAAAACAAACAGGTTTGGTTTTGTTTCACTGTAAATCCTCTCCTAGAATAATAGAAGCTCCTTCCATATTAGAACTATCCCGTCCTTTTTAAAAGCCCTCTCTCAGATAAGCTATGTGATTGGTGTACTGGAAACCCCTGATTTTTCTCATCGCAAAGTTGGAATTTTTTGAATTTAAGGCAAAAATTGAAGTAACTTTTATCTGACTGTGTGAATATCTGGAACTTTCATCGAAAATCTTCTAAAAAGCTCATAAAAATCTTGAAAATGTCTAGAAACCTCTCTGATTGGTTTTCCTGTCTCCGTCTACAGATTTTATGAATCAAAGAGAACCCTTCTTCGGAACTTTTAGAAGATGGACATATTTTGAACCCATGGGAGTTTCTATTGTGCAGAGGATAGTCATTTCCTACGTATGACTAAGCTAGGAGCTCGAACGTGATTGAAAGTGCGAAGCGGTAACCTGATTATACATATACGCTACTTTGTCGGATATAAACAAATAAACATTGTAATAAAAATATAAATTGAGTTTATTGAAAGGAGAAAATTTCTTCTGGGATATATATTCCGTGTTTTTAAGAGTTTGAATGCTATTTGAGATTTAGTTTTGATAATCGTTTATTCATTTGGGTGCGAAAATTTTGAACAGTGATCGGGATCATTTTTATCACGACAAGCAGCTCCATGACGACATTGTGTTCTATGTCGACCCATGTTATTCGAGGAACCACCACGATGGTCATGAGGATGTGAAAATCTTGAACAGTGATCGGGATCACTTTTATCACGACAACCAGTACCATGACGACATTCTATTTTATTTCGATCCGTGTCTTTCGCGGAACCAGCGTCATATTCATCCGGATGCGAAAACTTTGAACAATGGTCAGCATCCTTGATATCACGACAACTGAGTCCATGTCGACAAGCAATTTTTTTGGTTTGTTCTTGAGGTCGATCGTGGCCATCACTTCTTTCTACATAGATGAAAGATAATAACAAATAGTATTATTTATGAGATTTTAACTAGACAGTTAGCTACTTACCTGGTTGTTCTGTAAAATTTACTTCAATGTGTTGACCATGAGAATATTTGATTCGATGGTCATAGGATGTGTTTTTGCAATTTTTTTGCTGATCACATGGAATGAGAAAATCAGGCTTACCTGCATGTCGATATTTCGCTCGATGTACCGGATCATCGAGTTTGGAACATGAATTTTTTGATGTACATTCAGATACATTGTGAGGAAAATGCGTGAGATAAGGTTCTTCATTTTTTTTGTTGGTGCATAATTCCGAGTATCGACACGGGTGAGAAAACTTTTGAATGTGATCATTTTCGTTCTGTTGGAGACAGTTAACTGAATCAGGACAGGCTTCAGGTTTTTTTCCTTTGAACTTAGAACCGATCCAGTTAACGAAACGGCTAACCGCGGAAGGACTTTCTGAATCAGCTGCCGCTTCAGATGCTTCTGGAGTTTTTGTGGTGGTTTCAGATTGTGAACGTGTTGGGCTTTTTGATCGGTCCTTCTTCACAGTAGTGAGATCTTCGCGTTTGAATTTATCGTCTACAGATGGATGCAATTCTTTCACTTTGCTAAAGTTAATCGTGAAATTCCGAATAGGTACTCTCTGTGAACCAGCGCTAACGTACACATAGTTCAATTTTGTCAAATTAAGTTCATTCTTGTGAAATGCATGCGAGATTTTTTGGTGATTGTAAATACTATTCGGTCCTGCATGTGATAGTGTTACTTGACCATTCTTAGTTTCAATTCGTAAACAATATGTTAGAAAATCATCAACATTGCAACCAAGATGAAATGTATTCAAACCTTTGGCAAAGGTTGAATTGTGTTTGACAATGAAATGTTGATAGGGTTTACCGTTATTCAAATATGAACATGATTCATGATAATTTGGCGTTGTTGTTGAAGGTGTTTTGGCAACATAGCATACTAAACATTGCACATTATCTGATGACTCACGCCCAAGGAGTTGATCTGAAAGTGTGATCATCACATCTCCGTCCATTGACTGCCAATAAATATATATATCATCAGTAGGAGGATGTTTTTTATGCGTTGCCTGATATTGTTCATATGCTTTGGATATTGTCAAGGGTAAAAGTATATGATCTCTAAATTCATTGGGTGGTACAGTAATAAAACTGCCATGTAACTGTCGCGAACATTTCGGATTTTTATCGAATTTATCGATCAATATTTCAACTATATGTTTATTATATTTCTTTCTTTCACCTTCATTCTGTCTTGCATTCGCCAAATCAACTGTATGTTCAGTAATCTTGAGCGAATCACCAAAAATCTTTTTGGCCACTTTTCTTGCATCTTCCGATAGTGATTCAAACACATTTTTCGGCATATAAATTTCTTCAATATAATCGAGAGGAACCAATGTAGGCAAATGTGCTTCGAATGTTTTGTGCGAATCAACATGGTTCCAATATTCCAAGACTTTTTTTAAACTAACATCAATTGTATTATCTTTTACACCTGCTATTGCCATTAGCTCCGCTGCAGCCGCATTCTCATAGCCTGGTATTGAACAATGCAACTTTGATTCGTGAAATTGTTGGATTCGTCCATCGTCTGTACCTGCATCTTTGATCCAACGCCTATGTTCGAAAGTGCTTCCACTATGCACTGATGTTCCTGCTTGAATAGAGAAGTTTGAATCAGGATGACGCATTAACTCTGCCTTGAAAATGATAACGATATCACCATAATAGTGACCACGATGTGGGCCGAGAATACTAAATATATGTTTATCAGTACCCAATAATTTATCTACCTGATATCCAATGCCAGCTAAGGTCTTCATCAAAACTAATGAAGCTTTGGCCATGTCCGTCGAACAACCACGAATTTCGTCAACGTCTCGCTTCTTTAGCAGATTAGATAATTGCTTCTCACAGGAAGATATAGAATCCGTGTAATCTCCATTTGATTTTGCCTTTTTCACCTCTGTAGGAATGAAAATTTCTGCACCATCCATTCCCGACGTATCTGCCTTGGAATATTCAAGACACGCAATAGCTTGAATATATTCGTTTGCAATACGTTCAATATCTGGATTTCGAGTTGGATCAAGAATGGACCGAATACGCTTGTGCTGTAAGACACTGTCAGCTACCGAACGAGGTCTCGTCAAACGCTCCATATGATCGCGTGACATGACATGACCGTGAACTAGTATTGATTCGAAAATAACATTTGAACATCGATGAACTGGTTGCAATCCTCGGATCCATGCTGATATTTCTGTTGGAGTTGATAGTGTCTGCTTGAAATGGTTTTTCACATAATCCGCAACCGTTCTGTACATTGTGATTTGGTTTTGAACAAAATCCACCTTATCATTCAGTCCCCAGCTACGAATTGCACCGCTACGGTCGAAGCTTTTATTGTGACGATATAGCATGATATGCTTAGAATCATGTCGATCTCGACATTCGTTGTCTCGATTTGCATAAACGACGTATATCGTTCATATCTGGATGTGTCATTGAATTCAAATGATCTTCTTTATTTTTTCTCGAGCATCGATCTCCCTCCTCGCATACTTCACGCGCGACATGAATAGTTGTTCTCCAGTGTACGTCCGATGGTTTATGACATCTGCGACCAAATCGACAAACATGTGAAAATTGGAGACAGTGGTTTTGGACGCTTGCAGGAAGTGATTTAATGTTATGTGATTCTGATAATAAAGTATAATGTTGACAATGAAATGGTGTAAACGGGCAAGGTAGGAGAAATGGATGATTTCTTTCCATCATGTGATTTTCATTATGGAAAAGACTACAAAAATAATAACCATCACACATTGGTGTGCAATGACGATATTTCCCACAATGATTAGGTGTTCCTATTCTGTAATCCCTACATTGTTCACCACCTTCACATAACGGTAAATGTCGAAAGTCTTCTAAATGATCACGGTTCATATTTTTGCAATGCTCACGATCTCGGCAAAACGGTGGATGTTCCAATTCTCGGGCGTGTATTTCATCTGTATTTACCAGTTTACATTCACCACGAAATTTACATTCACTTCGATGTCTGAACCAGTATTTATGATCTGCATCGTTCACTGGACATTTGTCTATCTCTGTTAGAGGACACAGAGGTGGATGTGAATATTTCCTACGATGTTGATCGTCTCGTATATTCTGACATTTACCACCGTGGTCACATGGTTGCAAGTAGCATATCCGAATGTCACTTAATGTGAGCTCTTTTCCAGGTATTTCTTTCAATATTCGATATGGACCGATCATCATATCATTCATTTTATGCGTGCTCGATTTTACTCTCATATTATGGAGAATTTCTTTGAACGGGTCATAGTTTCCTTCTCGGTTATGTCGTCGGCCTGCATTGTGATCATCAATAATGGCAAAATGAATGCTTTTGAAAAATCCAGCATATTGTTCGATAACGGATTTGAAAATGAGTGCAACGTGTTTCGGTGGATTTTTGAAAGCGCCGCAACCGAGAGCGGAAAGAACAAGACAGTTGTGTTTCTGATGATAAGCGATGGCAAAGATATTTTCAATTTTCTTCCGCAAAGCAATAGAATCTTTAGGAACCAAGCGACCATTCTTGTCAATTTCCACTTTTGGGTCAGCAGCCATTGGAATTGCACATACATCATACATAGGTTCACTCATAAAAGAATATCCTTGATCTTCTGGATTACGAAACACTGTCAATCCTGATGTATAGATCGCGCCAAACTCGTCCATTGGATACATCTTTGGTTTTTTACCTATGGATTCTTCTTTACAGTCTGAATTACAACAGAAACGATTCGTCGGTTTTTCAGGATCGAGATCCACATCAAGACTTCGAAAATAATTTGAACGACGAAACAAATTTTCTTCTTGTGCTCCATCTCCTCTACGATATCCGCCACCTGGTGTGTCGGCATTAGCCATATTTAGAACCACAGGAGAAAGCTTCTTTTCATCCGAATTTTTGATCAAATCTTGATAACAACAAAGACAGTCTTCATTAACAACTTCGACAAATGTTTCCTTGTATGGAGTATCTATTGCTTCGGAAAATGGCTTGGTCGCACCAGTTTTCAATTTCGATTGATGATTATAAACAACTGTTTTTAGTTCATCGGTTTTTATCGAAATTTTTTTGTCACCCACATAATAAAAATCTCTGTTCACAATACCAATAGTATTTAACATGACTGTCATTCGTAATAAGTGCCGTTTTTTATTGCATTCTGAGGGAGCAATTTCGGATCGATTGTCATTTTTGTTTTTATCATCATAACGTTGAAATTGGTCTAGAAACGGCTTAGGATTCCACTTGTAACGGAATATTCTATGTTGAGGATTACCGACAAAAGACATGATATCATTTTCGTATTCCTTCATTTCAGTTTCGTACCAAGTGAGAGCATTGATCTCCAAATGTTCTGGATTCTGTGCCGGCTTAAACACCTTCATTTCTATTTGTTTACCATTTATTTCGACGGTGTTTACTTGTGATAATTGATGAAACAACGATTCATCTGAAATTTCAACGATAGCATAGCCTTCACCTATTGTAACTTGTTTCACTTTCCCAGAAAATATAGTATGATTTTTAATTGAAGACATATGCCAGTTTTCTAGCCAAGGTTCTAAAATTAGACGACATGTAAGCATCGCTTTCTGATCCACCTTTTCCCCATCAATGTCAACAGAATGAATTGATACAAATTTACGTGCACGACCACATGTCACAATAACAGCGCTTGCAGCTTCGGAGTTGTATTCGATATAGAAAGAGGAGTTTTGTACGCTTCCGTCTGGCATTAAAGGAATAACCACCTTTTCCAAACTATCTTTAGTAGTATTATGAGATAAATCTTCAAAAAAACTGCATTCGCCTCCGAAATATACTGTTACAGTATGACCACCATTGATAGTAAATGTTCGGACGAGCATAGTGGTGATCATTTCTTTTGGTACAGTTGAAACTATTTGAAATATATTCGGAAATTGAACACAATGCTTCTCACATTTAATTATATCAATATTTTTGTACCCTTGTTTCCATCCTTCTCTTAAAGCATCAGTAAAATCGATCGGAATTTTACTATTGACGACGACGTAAGAAGTTAGTTGTAGTTTGGCAGCAAACTGGATTTCATGACGAGATTTTCCATCAAGCGTCACCGATTGAAGAATGTTAATAAACTGATCTAACTGACTCTTAGATCTTAACGAAACGATGCCGACACCCAATTCTTGATTACATTTAACATCCCGAATCTTTTCTCGATGTCTCTCTTTCAAACAATACTTAATTTTATTTTCTAATTCTTCATTATTCACATTTTCTAATGGTAATTTGGAGATATATGCTTCAAAAGACTCGGCGGAAACTGAGAAAATAGATGATGAAAAATCAGTTCTCATCTGGTAATACTTACCTGATTGGTTTTTATTGAAGTCTGATTGATCTGGAGGTTTTTCCCTTTGAGTAGATCGATCGTAATCACCTCGATGTGCAGATCGATCTGTTGGATGCGGTCTTGGTGATGCAGTTGAGCGATCTTGTTGTCTTGTTTCATAGCGATGTCGATCTTTTGATTTTGATGTATAACTATCATTATCGGATCTATCACTTGCAGATGGACTTCGTGAATGCGATCGTCGTCGATGGTCTTTTTTCTCTCGAGAATGACGTCGTGTGCGAGGCGATTCTCTTTCTCGATCATTTCGTCGGTCATCATCAATGGATTTAGCTTCACCACATTTGTAACAGTCCTTGTCTGTTGAGTCATTATTCGAACGACATTTTGAACAGGTCCAATCCTGTTTATCGAGTTGATAGGTCGATCGCGCCGAGGTTCTTTCTTGAGATGAATCTAAATTATGTGAATTGAGTGTGTTATTTCATGTCCGTGACAACAGTATACAATATCGACTATCTGAATAATTCTCACTGTTGTTATTTCCTTTATTCTCGTTTGGTATCGATAACTTTTAGAAAAGCAGGTATTAGTTTTGTATTCGAGTGTTGTTCGATCTGCTCAGAAACTCTACCCGTAACACTCCTATCTATTTTTCCTGCAGCTATTACAGAAACAAATCTTTTAACTGTTTATCATATAGACGAATTTTTAAAAATAAATTGGACTTGAGTATTAACGTCAAGAGACCTGCACTAACGAGAAAAATTTAACATGCTTTAGACATTTTCGCAACGAACATTTTTCTCATGTCTCAAAATTAAGTCAACGCACAGAAATAATTATCTCAAGACAAGTAAAAATAGTGAAATTACTAATGAAAGAAGCTTATAGAGATGAATATATGTATATACTTACGAGGGAATCTTCCCAACTGTCAAATCGCTTTTGGATTCGGACTCTGTGCATGAGTTAGATCCTAGTGAGGTGTGAAAAACCTTAAAAGAATGAGTGCCTTTAGACACACTTTACTGAAATTTTAGCATATGATATGGTATATAGGAAAAAATCGGATAATTGTATTTTGCCATGAGATTTTGTTCACAGAGAGGTGAGGTCTATTGGTGAGTAGTATGCCCTGAAAAGTTCAGCTCAAAACGACTTTTTCTTCTCGAAATATTAAAGTCCAAAAAATCACTCATATCTCATGAAAGATGCCAAAATGTTTTTTTCGGTCTTTAATATCTCGAGAAGGAAACGCCGTTTTGAGCTGAACTTTTCAGGGCATACTACTCACCAATAGACCTCTCTGTGGACAAAAGCTCACGGCGAAATACCATTATCCGATTTTTTCCTATTTACCATGTCATATGCTAAAATTTCGGAAAAGTGTGCTTAGTGCCCACTCATTGTTTTAAGGTTTTTCATACCTCACTGGGATCTACCTCATGCACAGAGCCATAACTCAAAAGCGATTTAGCAATTGAGAAGTTTCCCTCTCAGACAAAGATGTGGTAAACTATCAAAATCAAAAGAAGTCACAATATATGTGAGTCCGCATGTGTTAAAGCGTGACTGAAAGAACAAAAGTTTCGGGTTTCGCAACCAAAATCTGAGTTTTAATTACTGTGTCTGAAATGCACAGAAACGAAGCCTGCCTATCGTTTGGAAATGACAAGCTAATAAGTGATACACTATACGATTACTCTCAGAGCTACGTCTTTAAAATAAAACAAGAGCCAAAAGTGATTCATTGGCTCTTCGTTGTGTTTTTATTTTTCTTAGTGTGTTGTGAGTGCGGCCCTTTTTTCGTTCATGTCTGCATCTTATATCTTATTCTGTCCTTCTCTCGTTAAATATTGTATATTGTTTCTTTTATTTATATGTATCTTTTTAGCGCTATGTTTTTTATACTTGTGTTCGTTCTTCGCCTAAACTGATTTCATTAATATTGGCAATCTGTCCATATGTTCTCTCGGGAAACATACCACAAAGGATTGAGTTCTCAAATAATCACCGGGAAGAAAGTCATTTTTAAAGGTTTTCCTATGGGATCGATACGGTGCATGTTTTCTGACCTCATGATTACCCATTTGATAACAGCAATAGAATCTTTTGTTTATGAGTATATGTTTATTTGGATGAACATGCAGATGTTACTTTTCATCTAACAACACCTACGTAAAAGGACCGTTCCTCCCCCGCTCAGCATTTTCCAGAAAACGCTCCCTTTGTGAACTATATTATACGTATGACGAAGCAACCGTTAAGTAGGCAAATATCATCATAATGTGTTCCTACCTTTCTTCTCTTTCTTCGAATATGATCCATGTTGTTCTTTCTTGTTCGGAGTTGCTGTCTGGCGACGATCTCTACTGTCATCATCTGAGTAATCTCGATGTGCAGATCGCTCTGTTGGATACGGTCTTGGTGATGCAGTTGATTGACCCTGTTGGCTTGTTTCATAGCGATGTCGATCTTTTGATGTATAACTATCATTATCGGATCTATCACTTGCAGATGGACTTCGTGAATGCGATCGTCGTCGATGGTCTTTTTTCTCTCGAGAATGACGTCGTGTGCGAGGCGATTCTCTTTCTCGATCATTTCGTCGGTCATCATCAATGGATTTAGCTTCACCACATTTGTAACAGTCCTTGTCTGTTGAGTCATTATTCGAACGACATTTTGAACAGGTCCAATCCTGTTTATCGAGTTGATAGGTCGATCGCGCCGAGGTTCTTTCTTGAGATGAATCTAAAATATGTGAATTAACCATGTTGTTTTATAATATTTTATGACCGTGGAAACGCTACAGAATGTCGGCTTTCTAGCTATAGCTTTCTCTTATCCTTTTTTGATAATTGATATAATTACCGATTGGAATGCTTTACATAGTTTGTCAATACTAATCCAGAGACGAGTCATGTTCGTCGTACTCTTATTACGTAAAAATTTAGTCGAAATCTATAATTTGATTGCTGTGCTGTTTTCGAAAACTATATTTCATGCCGCATATGTTCAATTAAATGCGATCATCTTATCCTCACTTGATCTCATTTAACATTATTTGCTTTGTTTTAGATTGAAATCCTATTGAGTCATGTTACTTCGAAACTAGTGTTTTGTTTCGCTCTCCACATAATCATTTTGAAAACAACGAAATAATTTAGATTGATGTGTTCTTACCTTTCTGCTCCTTTTTCGAATATGATCCATGTTGTTCTTTCTTGTTTGGAGTTGCTGACTGGCGACGATCTCTACTGTCATCATCTGAGTAATCTCGATGTGCGGATCGATCTTTTGGACATGGTTTTGATGACGCACTTGATCGATCTTGTTGTCTTGTTTCATAGCGATGTCGATCTTTTGATTTTGATGTATAACTATCATTATCGGATTTGTCACTTGCTGAACGGTGTGAACCAGTTGCAGATGGACTTCGTGAATATGATCGATTTCGAGATTTTTGTTCGTTCGAAGAATAACCTTGTCTTTTAGGGGAATGATGTTTTTGGCCTTGTTTTTGAGCTTGTTTAGGTCGATGCCCTTTTTGGCAGACATAGCAAATGGAATTCCTTTCGTTGTTAAGTGACTCGCATTTATTGCAAGTCCATTCTCGTTTATGAGTCGTTGACGATGATCGAGGCGGAGTTCTTTCACGTGAGGAGTCTGAAATCATTTAATATCATTAAAACAAATGTGAATATTAATGCACTACTTAATGATGGTGATTAATTCCGATATTCGTATTCTCTATTTCTTTGTTCCATCAGTTCAGTCATCTCAGACATGTTATCATGATGAGGTGAGAAAAAGAAGTGATTTAAGCACATGATACGAGTGACTTGTATTGTCTCTAGTTTGGATACACTTAAGGAAAGTGTGAGATTATAGCAGTTAATATCCTCATTAGAATCAATCACGCGCTGATTCCGTCCTATCCTACAATTTTTTGGAAAATATCCAGTTTCGATGAATTTGGAGTATCATGCTTCAAAGGTTCCGGTAGTAAATTAACTATACATCAATAGTCGCTGCTATTTAGCCTCGAAACTGTATCATATAGATATTGTTTGAATTCGTAACTACGAGTATTACAATATGAGAGATTTGTAGTAAATGCCATCAACGGAGTTGTTCATCACTTCGGGGCTTCCGGGAGCTATGAAGGATAGCTAATAGGTCCATAAGAGTTATCCTATGTGAATATCTATAGGTGCAGAAAGACTTTCCAGTATGTTACTTGAATAACGTCATTCTCACATTGTTAAAACATCACCACAGAACATTTCGTCCTGCGTGCACTTCTCTGATGGCGTATGTCTAAAAGCTCTTGAAGATCAATGCTGACTAAGTGAGACTAAATGGGTCCTGGATACTTAGCGGCACTCGACATATGTCGTCAGGACTGGTCTGGAAAAGCCAAAGCTGCACTAAGACAGTTCTTGAAAAACTAACATACTAAATCTCGATCGACTTTGAAGATCTATGAGTCTCCTCACAGATCTTCGTCTTGAAAATCGATAGATATCTCCATCGAATAGAACTTGAAGCATATAATAATTCTCTGTATTTCTCAGGAGTGAAAACTGTTCAAATTCTTCAACCCTGATTATCATTGATGAAATATTACGAGGCTTCATTATTTTATCGAGAAGCTCTTTTTTTAGCGACAAAATAAGTGTGTACAATATCCCAATACTGTATGGGCGTTGTGATACGCGTAATTTTAAGATCGCCAAAGAATTTTGATGCCAAAATTTATTTTTCTTTTGGATTACTATTTATTTTACTTTTAGATTCGGTGTCGCTTTAAACCTAATTATTGAATGATTGAGGAAGGATGCATCATAGCATCGTCACAATGTTAGTGTAAAAAATGAAGCTTTTATACACAAAGATCCTTGCTATGTTTAGAACTAACGCAATAGCGACACCCAATCAACAAATTGTATAGTTCTGCTAGATTTCGTTAAAAGCTGATTACCTTTTGATCTATCACTAGAACTTCTTCGTTCTTTAGCTTGAGGACCTCCATTCTTGTTCGACTTGGTCGTTGGTGTCGTCTTCGAATACGCCGAAGTGGAACTACCTTTAGAGCCATATCGTTGTTCGTATTTATCAGTCTCCTCATCGGAGGTTAATTCAGGTTGACTTCCAGGCATTGATAAACAGTTTTTTCTGATTCTATAATAAAAATTTGCAAGAATTATAAATAAACCGATTGCCCTCTAATGTCTATAAAAGTTTCACTGTATGATTAACGAAACATTTTCGACAACTCACGGAGTAGAATTTGAAACTCGTTATGCTCAAAGAAAGGTGAAATTATAGCGATTAATCAGTGAGACCGCGAACCGCGTGCTCTAGTTTGGTTGATTTGCAATCGGCCATTTGACTGTGGTAAGCGACAATTGGAAGAAATTCTAGTATAGAAACAATTATCCTATATGTCATGTACAGAAGCGCATATTCATAGGCACGAATAGTTTTAATTCCTACTGATGAAAAACAATAAATTTCCCGAGATTAAGGGGTACCACTTTCCCATTATTTGCGCCACTAATGGCTCATATTAGCAGAGAGAAATAGGGGTAGCTTTCAGTGTACACAGATAGTGTTAGTATCGACTAATACATGATCAGTCGTACTCAAGTGTCACCTTCGGACGGTCGATCGACAAAGACATCATTTCGAGACAATGAGACAGACTGAGAACTTCTACTGGGCACTAGGAAGTAGAGATGTCTGAATTCGAATACGGTGTTTTGATCTGACCCGACGCCTGTCGGGTCGAAAGCAATCGTAACACGTCGGATATGATGGCTTCAACTGAATCGAGTACTTTCAACAAATTAAGACTATAATTTGGATACTATAACACGGCTGTGGGGATAACTATGTAATTAGATAATGTGAAACATAATTTCATCAGTTGACTGGCATCATTCACCTGCATCTACTTTAGATTGGATCTACGAGAAGAAGCTTTTCGAAGCCCCTACAGTGAGGACTGTCAGAATATCCGTGTAAGGTGTAACAAAGATAGTCTTTACTACAGCACCGCGAGCATCGTACATTTCATCTTTCATAGTTTTCAAAATCTCATACACTTCATCTTCTGATCATTTCATAGAATTCATCATTTCATACATTGCATACAATTCATCATTTCATCTTTTCGTCATTGCATACAATTCATCATTTCATACGTTTCATCTATTCATCATTTCACACATTTCATCTTCCATATATTTCATCTATTCATCATTTCATGCATTTCATCTTTTCATCATTTCACACATTTCAGTATGTCGTCGGATATGATGGCTTCAACTGAATCGAGCACTCTGAAAGATTAAGACTATAAATTGGATACTATAACTGTGGATATTTGGATACTATACCGGCTGTGGGGATAGCTACGTTAATTAGATACTGTGAAACATAATTTCATCAGTTTACTGGCATATTCATACGCACGAATAGTTTTAATTCCTACTGATGAAAAACAATAAATTTCCCGAGATTCAGGGGTACCACTTTCCCATCATTTGCGCCACTAATGGCTCATATTAGCAGAGAGAAATAGGGGTAGCTTTCAGTGTACACAGATAGTGTTAGTATCGACTAATACATGATCAGTCGTACTCAAGTGTCACCTTCGGACGGTCGATCGACAAAGACATCATTTCGAGACAATGAGACAGACTGAGAACTTCTACTGGGCACTAGGAAGTAGAGATGTCTGAATTCGAATACGGTGTTTTGATCTGACCNGAACTTCTACTGGGCACTAGGAAGTAGAGATGTCTGAATTCGAATACGGTGTTTTGATCTGACCCGACGCCTGTCGGGTCGAAAGCAATCGTAACACGTCGGATATGATGGCTTCAACTGAATCGAGCACTTTCAACAAATTAAGACTATAATTTGGATACTATAACACGGCTGTGGGGATAACTATGTAATTAGATAATGTGAAACATAATTTCATCATTTCAACTTTTATCGTACATTTCATCTTTCATAGTTTTCAAAATCTCATACACTTCATCTTCTGATCATTTCATAGAATTCATCATTTCATCTTTTCGTCATTTCATACAATTCATCTTTTTCATACATTTCATACAATTCATCATTTCATACGTTTCATCTTTTCATCATTTCACACATTTCAGTATGTCGTCGGATATGATGGCTTCAACTGAATCGAGCACTTTGAAAGATTAAGACTATAAATTGGATA